TATATATATATATATATATATATATATATATTGGAATACGACTTCATAAAATACCTCATTTAAAAATCCATCAGCCAATGTAACACCATTCAAACCAGAGCTAAATAAGCCGAGAACATTCGGTAACTCTTTTCCATCCAATCTTTGATCTTCTACAACGTTATCACCTATAATGATAAGGTGCTCTGTATTGCACCCCATCCATTAAAAATACTAGATAACACAAGTAAACTAAACACAAAGATACAAAAAAAGTATTGGAAAATGTCATATGATCAGCAGAGCAAATAATGGAAAATTTGCATTGAGAGGAATCTTTCCAAATATTTGATGGAATCTCGCACTGAATTTATTTTGGTATAGACTGATACTATGCAGAATCAAAAATAGCTCAGTTTCTAGAACTGAAATAAATATTTTTCATGTGAACAAATTTTGCTTTACTACATTTCTTAGTTCCTCTCATCACTTTTCCGCAAAATAAAAAAGGTATATTAACATTCAGGAAATTATCGCATTAATAACATGCAGCGAAATGAATAAGCTGAGACCACATGGCAATGAACAACAGAGTGTACGGAAACATTCCTTTTTGTGAAAAAAGAAAAAAAAAACACATCTTCACTACCATGCAATAATCAAAAAGTTATTTTAAATTTAGTTTCATGACTAGTCAGCCTCCACTGTTTTAGTATGATGCCCGCTGCAGTTAATATTACTCATCAATCAAAATGGGCTTTTGCGCCTCTTAAATATTTGCTGCTCTTTGGTGTAGTTCATATTTTTACGATACATCTTTCAAAAAACTAATAACTTTTCGACTTCCAATTTTTGATAACTGCATTTTCCTGCCTGACAGAACATTTTTCGCGCAAAAAAGCTACGTTTAAATACATAGCAATAAATAATTTTCATCTGTTGAATCAATCACCAACATTCCCACACACAAAAAACCCAAAATACACAAACCTTCTAAATTTTGACTGTGCATTCGTAATTCAACATTTTCGCTCTGTAGTTTACGATTTTTCCCAATAAGTAATTCATCAAGCGCTTTCGACCGACCACTTAACTGTACTTCTGCTGTTGCTGTTGCAGCGGTAGTCACAGTAGAACCAAATAAGTTTTCCTCAGCTGCATTTTCTTCTCCAAACTCAATGTTTCGAAGAATTCTGAATAAATGAATTTTAAAAATCAGTTCACAAATTTCAGAACTATAATTCATCAAAATCAGAACTATACTTCTCGAGCCTGTACTTTAAACTTACTATACGATGATCGAAAATGGAAATACTACAATCCCGATGCAGATCTCAACATCAGAATTAACTTTTGGTCATGTTGCACATGTACTGCGTTGAAACACTGCGTCAACAGCATAACTTCAAGGTTTGATTTTCACAGGATGAAAAAATAAAAAGAGACCTCAATTGTCTTTTAGTATCTTCATAATCTGACTGAGCATCTAGTTTAGCTTGCAGATGAGATATAATTTCCGTACGATGCACTAGCGCTTTGTTCAAGTCATCAATACGCTGACTTGATTCTATTTTTAAATGAGCAAGTTTGGAGTTCAACTTCTTATTTTCTTCCATAAGTTTCTGAATCTAAAAGTATTTCTGCGCATGCCTTTTGAATATAAATCCGCATAATCACTTTGGTTTTGGAAAGACAGAATTAAGAATAACCTGACTGTCTTTTGAATGAATCTGAAAATCTTCATCTATTTGACTTGAACTACTGCGCCCTATTCGTTGCAATTCACTTCTTAAACGCTGCACTTCCTTTTCTGCCTCCGCCTGAAAAGCCAAACATATTTTTCATCCAGAAACGAAATAAACAATATGTAAAAATTCAAGTAATTATAAGGTTACAGTATCATAAAATAAGTATCAAAAGTTTACGTAATACTAACAGCTCTTTGTAATGCGTTTTCTAAATCATTAGTAACCATCTCCAATTTCTCATCATTGAGGACTTCTTGATTTACTAACTTTAATTTTGTCTCTTCAAGAACTCGACTTGTTTCTTTGTTCTTCATCTACAAAAATTACAAAGCACAAGATCATGTAAAATGATAATCATAACTTAGCCTATAGAGTTACATCAATTTAATTAGTTCAGTTATTTCTCAGTGTTAAAAAATTTTTTGAGTTACTGCAAGATAAATGATGAATTTCTGTTATTGAATTTAAAAATTGCAAATTCATCATTTCGGGATATCTGACGGAAAGTAACCATTAAATCTTCCACAGTATTTGAAAGACTTTTGTTTTCCGCAGTAAGTTTTTCGCGTTTTTCTGCAATTTCTCTTTCAAATGCTTCTAGCTCATCATGAAGTTCTTTTTCTTTTTCATTAATTGCAGCCTACAAAAATGTACATTTGTCTTGCGTGCAATGAACGCCCATTTTAACATCATCGATATGAAAATTAGGAACCGTAATTTTTGACAGATTCAATCGCAGAAGAGACCAGTAACAAGAGAAATAATCAGACAAAGCAAGGACTCATTTAGTAAAAGTTGTGCTATATTTATTCGTTATCTACTTTAGTTTTTTAACAATGCATATTTTAATGAGAAAAACCTGTATCTGGCTTGCTGCTTTCGTTTCCATTTCTTTTATCTGTTCTTTGAGTTTACGAACCGTCAGTTCTGAAGATGCAGCACTACTTGAATCATTGAAATATTCTAATGCAATTTACAAAAAATTAGATTCAATACATGTGCAGTTTTCTCAAATTTTTCATCAGAAGCCAAAAAAATTTTCCCAGATATAGTGGAATTGAAAAAAGACGAGCCTTGATTTTGCAAATCAGCATATTCTTCTCGTAGTTCATGTACCTGTTTTGTTAAATTTCCTACTTGTTCATCGACAGAATGCAACCGTCCTAGCTCTCTCAGCAACAGTGGAATCCGTTCCAAATACTGAGAAGGGTCTATAGAAATGCAATATATACTAGTTGTTAAGCTGCTCAAATAATATTATAGTAATGATAATAACAATAACAGTAGTAATGATAATAATAGTGACAGAATTAGTGATAATAATAGATATTATTGCTGCGCCCGAGCTTCTGTTTTGTGATTATTTATATTCATTGTAATTGTTCAGTGCTACTATTCCAGTTTAAATTATTATAGATGATTATATTAACAGCAGCATGAAGACTTACTTTGTTTTCTCTAATCATTCTGCGCATATTTCATGAAATATTGTATATTTAATAATTATAGTTATTACTATGATTATTATTTCTATTATTTATTATTGTTATTATTTCATCATCACCATTACTACTACTAGTGCTTCGTCTGGCACAGGAATTGCATGAGCCGCTATTCCTAAGGCTAAAGAAAAGAGATAGATGGCGGTACCATCGATTTCATGACGACAACGACGGCAACAATTTTCAGAGCCAATCAATGCAAATGACAAACTCAGATCACAGGCCTGACTAGAGAAAGTAAGCCTAGTCAAGGCTGATCGAAGACAAAATACATATATATTTATATATATAAATGCTGTTGCTGCTGGCCGTGCTGAGCAGACTAGTCAAAGGCATACGGCGACAATCTTGCAGCGCATTCGCATTCATTCGATTGCCAATATCACGATTGCCAAGCATAAAATTGCCATCTACCCATTTATCCATGCGTCCAATTCATTCATTCATCTATCTATCTATCTATCTATCTGTCGATCTGTCTATTTATTTATCGATCTGGCTATCCATTCACTTATTCAATCGATTCCTTTATGCAATTTATAACTCATGACTAAACAATAATGAAGTAGTTAGTATAAACTATCAAAGTGACTAACGCTATCACTACCGCAAAATAGCGGTGCTCACACTACCTCTCTTACGAAATTGCTCAAACATTTCAAGATGAATAACACAAGGCGCAATTGACACAACCCCTCTATCCTGCACCTCAACTGCATACAGATTACGAATATTGCTTGGAAAACAAGAGTCAACGATATAATTATGGGAGTTATGATAATGATCATAAAAAATCAAACAGATCCATGAGTGCAACTTTTTGAGGATAATTAAAATTATTTATATATAATGATCTACGGACATGCCAATCATCTGAATCCGAAAAATCGACAGAAGCGTATAGGATTTACAAGAATAAGCCTTTTGTGCTGATGTAGTTTCATCCTCTAATTTTTATGAGCATTTGTAAATTATCTTGTAACAAACTCGATATCAAACACAACAACTAACTTCCCTTTTTGCGCCCACAAGCATAATAAAATTAATTGTAGACTTATTTAAACTTAATCGTCTTAATCGTAAAACGAACTTGTGTATTTATACACAGAATTAAATCCATATTATGTTGATGAATTAAAGTAAAGAAAAAAAACAAAACATATTTTTACCACAGGCAGAGGTTATTGCTCGACAGCTTACAATCACACAACTCTCTGCAGCTTTAGCCCTATCAGTAACTCGATCGTATTCAATTTGGAACGATTTAATCAATGGGGAGACAGCTTTGCGAGTTTGCTGAAAGTTATCTTTCTTATTAGAAAGAACAGTACAGTAAAGATTCTTTGTATAATTTTCAACAGGCAAACATGTTTCTTTGGTGAGAACTCGATAAGATTTGCGTAACAAATTTTAAAGTAGACAAATTAATAATATGACTTATTGCACAGTCACATACTGTACATGAATTTACTTTATAATTTATTCCCGCATTTTAGTCATATGCAGCCTTTAAGGATACTGATTAAGACTTTGAACTGATGTAATGCATATTCGATTGTCTTCCGAAATTGTCAGGAAAAGATTTTTCAAAGTGCTACTTCAAGAAAAAAAAACGTTGCTCATTCTTACATACTCTTTCCTATTCACTTACTGATGACAATGATCACTTACTGATGACAATATGGATCTTTTGCAGTATGTCATTTAGTACTGACAGACAAAAGACAAGTGAAATAATTATGTGTAAAATAAGACGCGGAGCGATATCTATCAATCTCCATTAAGACACAAATGTACTCTTAAAGTATTAAAGCGATAATTACCTTGATCAGCATAACTGATAAGCACATGCTGATCAAAAAAGCATTACAGAGTTTTTCTAGAACAAGAACTAATTAATTGAGCTTTACAGAACCTGGAAATGGAATGACTGAGACTGAAATTTTGTTGAGATATTTAACACTTGAAAACGTCAAATGGAACCTTTGAAAGCAAACTTTACTTACCTTGTCAACACTTTCATAGAATTTTTTATTTTCAGCAATTAATTGTTGCCGACCTTTTCGGCATGCATTTTCCCTTACATCAATAGCTTCCACTTCCTCACTTAATCTTTTCTGAAAATAAAAGCAAAGTTTGAATAAAATCTTGGCGAGATTTATCATCTGTTAATTAGGAACGCTTAATAAAGATCACTCCATGACAAGATCTGATCAATGGATAGTTGATTCACTTAATGCAAAAATTGCACTGCATGGCAAGTGATAAAGATCACACGCGTGATCCATACAACTAGACTTCATCAAACTATCAAGTCAAGAATTTCTATACTGTAACCTTTACAGTACTTGTGAGAAATAATAAGACCTCCTCACAAGAAAAATAGTAAGGCTAAAAACGTGCTATCGAAACATTTGTATCTCCAGTGTGCCTGGTTCATCAATATCAAACTATAAAAGATTGCACTACTTGAATGAAAAGCACGTGAAGATTTGTCAGTACGACTATCAAGAATGAAAAAATAAATAAATTCAGCCAGAGAAGCTAACTTTTTAAAAAGGAAAAGAGTAATATTTGTTATACACCACTGACCAAATTAAATGAGCGAACAATGAGTTTTTTATCTCTATGTAAGCAATAACAACTATTAGCATTTTTGTTGCTTAAATTTGTAGCTAACAAAGTAATGTTCTCTTTTCTATCATACAGCTGAAGAAACTGACGATTATTGACAAGCTTAAATAATAATGCTAATGATAAGCTCAAAAAGTAATAAGTAGTAAAGTAGAGTGTTTATGTGCGTTGAAAATGATGGCAAGAATGATCGAATCAACATCCCTTGATGGTTCAAATTGGCTGTAGGCCAGTAAACACTGCAGTGGCCGAGTTTCAAATAATTCAAACAGAGACCTCGAATCGAAAATCGATCGAGCCCAAGGCTTAGATAAGTGAGTGAATAGTTAAATGAATGAATGAATAGGTGAAAGAATGGATGGATAGATAGATAGATATACAGATAGATAGATAATGGATAGATAGAAAGTTGCGCTAATTGCTATTTGCTCACTTCGTCACAGAACTAGCAAGTAATGATTTGATTCAGGGACAGATTTCTAATCAGATGGATATTCAAAATTCATTTTCTATCTCTTTTAGCAGCAACCATACTGCCTAAGCCACTGGTTTAGACCACTAAACTATTGATTCGAGCAAAACTATCAGGAAACTTTTCCTTACATAGCAGCAGCACCCGTCTGCTAACCCATCAACAACAAAATCAATATTACTGGTGATATCCATCTTAGCTAGTTTCCAAGTGAGCTGAGAATGGAAAAATCCTATCAAAGTCTGGCGAACTTATGGGCAGTGAACGTTTCAAGTGAATATTTATAGCAAAATGAATCTGTCTTGAGCAAGTACTTTCTCTTGTTTTGCATCATTTTATATATGAGCATAAATCTAAACCAAAAATCTATGAATGATGCGTGCTGCCGCTCAAATGAACCGTGGTTAAGAATGGAAAGAACTTTAACTCTTCAATATTTCTGCATTACATGTAATCATATCTAGTCATTGCTAATTATGGATGAAAACTGCAAGATGCATTTGGATGATTTCTTAGCAAAGTTGTAACAAGAAATTACATTATGCCTGCAGGGCAAATATGTTGTGATCTCTTTGCCATCGGAATATCAAGCTGCTAGAAGTGAATGATTTTTATGCAGTAATTATTATTCAGAAGTTACCTACAAAAGCATATCACCAACTGAATCCCGTTTTCATTTTGTTCCTGAACCTGAACTGCATGAAAGTGAGGAAAATAATTTTGCTCCTACTCTATTCTGAACTCTTATGACCTGTAGTTCGCCCACTACATCAACTGAAGATCGATATTTCGCTCATAATTTTTACTTTAAAAAAACTTTCCAATCAGTTTAAAACTTTTCATCCACACATGTTTTCCATTATGTTGGATACATTGCACACGCAGAACATTTACAAAACAATCGACACATAAAATTGATCATTTTATAAAAATTGAGTTCCAAAAACAACAAATTAATGACTGAGAAATCAATGCCAAAAAAATTCTTTCAGGTCTTCAGCTCTTGCTGCATTCAAGGAAATATATTTTTTAGAAGTCGAGATTTAGAAGAGAGACTTCTAAAAAATATCCTTCCTAAAATAAACCACTAGAAGCACTAAAAAGCAAAACACAACTTCGAATTGCCAGTTAGATAACATCATTTCATCAGTCTTCATAGTCTTCATATTGCTTTGAAATTCAAAAACTTACTTGTAAATGTTCAAAATCGACTTTTGACCACCTCCGTGCCACGTCTTGCACTTCTTGAGCCTTTAGTGCATTAGCAGCCATGCTTTTTCTTATTATGAACACAAACTACCCTAACCGACCACCTGAAATCTATTTCCAGAAGTAGAGAACACAAAGTGACTAAGTCGAACAGTCGGCATGAACTGTAGTGACACACAAACAGAGAAACAAACGTTCCTCCTGACCTTTATGTATTTGTCTAATATCCCTAGCATTGATTTCTCACTCTTCGCTTAACCTCCCCAAATAAATTAACAGTGACCAAATGGTATTTTGCTTTCTCGTCAAGCGATCATTCAAATCTTGAAATATCAAAACTGTCGTATCTCTACATTTTATGATAGCATAGGAACAGCCATGTAAAAAAAGGTCAAAGGAAATATTAATCTCGACCATAAAAGGATTATGCATACTTTTGACCTCATTCAAAGGGTTATAAAATAAACCATGCTGTTAACGCACAATAAACAAGTTCCTTCCCATAACAAACTGAAACTTATACACGATCTGTCCTTAATTGTTTTCACTGAAAAAAGACAACAAATAATTCTGAAAAGAGACTTCATTTTTAAACTAACTCTGTAGAGAGAACGACAGATAAACAATCAATTACACAAAGAGCGAATTACGTAATGAAAAGCTTCATAACAATTTTTGAAGTTTAAGTAGTAAGCCTAAAATAATGGTACTCCAAAAATGAAGGGACAAGGATTATGACCATGAGACTGATGATGATCAGTCTCATGTCTCATGATCCGCAGCAATCATTTCTGAAGAGCAAATTTATGTACACGTAAATATACATACAGGAAAATTACATACATCCACCGTCATTGTGACCTTCTGAAAAAAGCGTCATCACCGCACCTGCATATTAATGATGACATTATCGGCGACCCCATAGATAATCAACCTCGATCAACGGTGATGAAAGTATTGATCAATGGATCAATATGTGCTGCAATGTTCAATATAACTGATCGATCTGATTTTCTGTGTGTCTGTTTGTGAGCAAACACCCATACGTTGCACTACACTGATTAAAGTGTGCATAACTTTCTCTTACATATTTCGCACTTCGTGCACATATCTAAGTATCCCTTTTATTGCAATAGTCATGAATCATTCACTGTTATTTAATGATTCTAACAGATAGCTCTGGACAGAAAAATCAGCTAAAACTAGATGCTTATATCAATTACTTCAACAAAATAAAAAAGGAGCCTCAAAATAATGCTATAATTTTCAAACAATTAACCTAGACACCTCAAATAGCTCAAAGAAGTTGAAATACTACTACTTTATCCACAAAATGCTGCCTAAGAAGAAAACAACTGATGCAAATGAATAGTAGAATATATGAAAATAAAAATATATATATATATGTATGATGCTGCTCTATTCATATATCGAAGAAGCTGTAACGCTGCTGATCATAAGCACGAAAATCTTCACGCATATGGTAATCATCAGGAAGTTCATCCAATATCTTCGAGGCTTCGGCTTTATAGTCTCGACCATAATGCACTTAAAGAAAGGAAAAAGGACCAATGTAATAAATATTTCAACAAGAAACCTTTAACAGTTACAGTTACTTAATTTGAAATTTGACACTGTTGAATGTAGTGAACCAACCCACATTTAATTTGAATTCAGTAGGATATATCAGACAAAGAGTACGAAGATTTTGAATGTAACTACCTGATTAAGAATTTACTTGTCCCGAAAATGACCTGAACATTTCTAATATTGCTTTTAAATAATCTTCTACTTCTATGCGAATCTACTAAATCAAAAACAAATATGTTTTCAAAAATTAAAGAAATAACTAATAAGATGAACAATATTTTAGCGGAAAACTCTTGTTCACAGTTTTAAATTTTGTAGCACCTCATTTAATGATGAATTCAAAAACGTAAAACGTAAAGTCAAAAAATGTTATCACAATTACCATTTTTTGGAAATCGCGCGTTGTGTACATGCATTTTACTGAAATATCCCACTCTTGGCCGAGTTATGCTCAAATTTTGCTCTACGCAGAGATCCAAACGACGTTGTTGTTCTCGACAACTGTAAATTATAACTAATTAATCAGACAGAATTATTTCTACTTTTTAAATACCCTGCACTGAACAGAGAAAAATAAATTTTTAGCCTTGAAGCATATAGATAATCCATCATTTTAAATGAATACAGTGTCTTTAAACAGACCAATGAATTAATAAAAACAAACGGAGTAATGTAGAGTTTAGAAGATCGGTGATCGATACAACTAGCATAATTATCAACACTTTCCTTACAATTCTTTTTTAACTGCTGTAAAAACTTAATGCCACACGCAGTGAGATCTCGACCTTCCTTTAAAGCACGACGTGGATCTTCGGTCTCTTGTCGACGTAACGTAAATTCCTAGCAAATGAGAGACAAGTTTTTTCGACTGTTTAAAATAAAAGTAAAATCCATTATATTATGTTGCATAAATCATTGCACGCATCCGTAACTTAATTTAACGTAGTACAAGTATTAGAGTAAAAATACAAGCAGACTTTCATTTTTTTCAAGAAAATAGCTAACTTTGACTTCTCTTTCACATGCTCGATGCATAAAAGGTATAACTGCTTTGAAGTACGGTGTTGATAGAGTAATTTCATGGGGTACCGTTAGCTCTTCATCGGACGGTAACTGAATACCTTTGGTAATCATTTCCTGAAACTATACTATAACACTTACTTAGAATAATGAAAGTTAGCTTTTCCTGTCACGTAGAAATAAGACAAAGTTAAACTGAAACACTATTAGCTCAGTAGCGAACATAAATTGAGAAAACATAATCATCCGTGAATATGAATGAGTGCGGTCAGACGAAACAAAATTGGTGTTTTTAAATTACATTGCTTAAATAACGGATAAGGCTAACAAATTTGAAATGATTACTGCAATTACTATTTATTCAAACTACTTTCATAAAAAATTTTCAATGCACACGAGAGATGGTTTGTAACATGCTCTCTGCATCCAAATGGGTACTCAGGTAAAAAGAAGTGTTTGCGCGCTATTTATACTATTAGATCTCCTTGTAATTTTAATCTTTGATACATGAAGGAACCTAATTGTCTTGCAGTATCTATCGTCATTTCAAATTCCGGCACGCAACACAGGAAAATGTCAACTATTAAACCTCAATAGACCTCTCTATACATTTATAAAAACCGACTGTGGAGTTTACATAGAGGAGAACTCAAATTTACATGCAATGATTTTATGAAAACAATTGTCTCAAAATTTAAGTTGACGTCGAGAATACAAATTTGTACAAATGATAATTTTTTGCAAAACTGTAAAATATTCAAGCTTATTGAAAATTAATGGTGAAAAAAAGATCAGTTTTTTGTGATTGTTTTTTACTAATAAATATAAAGTCGGTGAAGTTTCGAAGTTCATTTATGTCAACTTTTTTTGGTAGTGAGGAAACGCTTTAAATTGCCGCAAATAATTTTGGCACAAACTAATGTTTTAATACTTTGCAAATTATTGTTAGTCTATTTTTGATTTCAAAAATATCGGATAATATGCAAATCACTTCTCTAAAAAGTAATTTTCAATGCAAATTCTTTGACATTGTACTTATAAAAAACCCTGTTTACTCAAAATAGGAAAGAATTTTCTATCGAACTCAGCTGTAAGCTGACTGCATTCTAACTTACATATGCAGAGGTAAGTGGAAAGACCAACAACTTTTTTGCATCTCTCAATCAAAGAATTAGTGTAGGTTGCTGTGATGTGATCGTAACTCCGAGATCTTTATATTTTTTGACTGAAAAAATGTTTTCGAAATGCGGAAATTAAAAAACTGCATATTTAAAAGCTGACATTGTAAAAGAGAAAAAAGTTAATGCTTTCAGAGTAGAATCAACTCGCCGCATTTAGATGAAAGCATTTCAAAATTTGCGGAATGCACTGGCATCCTCGTCGCAAGCAACGTTGCAAGCACAGTCAGAATCGCAAGTATCGAGAAGCAGTAGCAGCCGAAAGTCAAAAAACAGAGCACAATCAACAAGTAGTGAAGGCGTGAAACCAAAACGGCGGTTATCTTTCAGCCGATTATCGCGATCTCCGCCAACACAGCCAACTGAAGAAAAGGTCGAAAATTCCTTACACCGTGTTACTTCTTCCACTAATCTTCAGAAATTCTCCGGGGCTACCAAGATTCGAAGATCAGTATCTAATGAGAAATTGACTACTTGGTAAGTTTACTTCCTTCAATTTGCTTTTCCTTTACTTTTGATTCTCAAATAAAATTGTGCTAAGTGACTTTTACAGATCTTTTTCGGTTATAGCGTGGAGAGAAAACGTAGAGACATTAATTCCTCACCAAAATCTAGTAATTTTGCGATAAAGAGGCTTGGATTTCCGTGTGAACTGCCGAATAACCTTGTCACAGATGTTGGTATACAAGGACAGTTTGAAAATAAGGACAAAAAAGTTAGCATATTGATTTTATATGATAAAATTAGACAGTTTTATTTGAACAATACTTTTGCTTTGAAAACGAAAATCGCCCATTAATTTGTCGAAGATGTACTTCAACTCGAAGATGGTAGAAAGTCGAGTTATTCTGAACATTTCCAACCGGCTCATTCATCATGTTTACAGCAATCATATGAACTTTCATGTAACTGCTGACAAAAGATTCTGCTAGTTATCTTGTCAGCCGCAGACTTCGAATAGTGCTTGAAAATAAAATAAAACTTGTTGATCTCACAATTATTATTAGAGTGAACGAAATTTGTAAATTGCAGGCAGGCGTTATTATCACTAAATCGCTACTTGTTTTAAGAGTTGAAGAAAACTCAATATTCTATGACACTCTGAAAATATGTGATTTCTTAACACACATCGAAAATGAAAAAATCAGCGGAAAGAAAGAGTTTTATAATAAATTAAAGTCGTTTCGTAGTAATGGCAAAAGGGTGGAGTTTTTTTACTTATTCGAATTATTTTAATCATCTCTTAATGCAATTCCGCTTTGGAGTTAGTAGAACTCACATTTTTAAAATTGATTTCATTACCTGAAATTCATTTATCAACTTCAATCTGCTTTTAGTTGTTTAATTTTTCTAACTCAAAGAATAGTTAACGATCTATAATAATCTCAGTTCAACATAAGATTACGTAGACCATTATGGAATACGCCAGCAACAAAATTACCAAAAGGTTATGACCGAGCTCCGGGTTATAACTACATATGTGGCTTGATGATCCTGTATCCAGGCGGTAATTTGGGCATGAATGTTAAATCGTACAATAGTAAAGTAAGTTCAATATCTAAAATTAAACATTGCTTGTCACGGAGCCCTTATTGTTATGCTCATCAGTTTAAAGAAATTAGCACATATTTACTGTTACAGCTACAGTTTTTTAAATTTAAAAACTGAAACATGAGCCCATCTTCCAGTGTCATATATATCGCTATAAAGAAATCCATTCTAATAAATCTTTAACTAAGATAGTGCATACACCAGGTATATGTTACCAGTACCGATCAGTTAAGTATGGCATCTGCCACGTGCCTCATGGGAGATTGTATTGTTGACGTGAACGGTACGCCAGTCACGTCAACCGCTTCATGTAGAGAACGCATGATTTCAGAACTGAAAGAGAAGAAATATGTAAATTTGCAACTGTTATTTCAGTTTTTTTAAACTGTTTGCAACACTATCAAAGTAGGAAGTATTTTCATAAAACCTTTATAAATAAATTTGCATTGGTCAGGTGATGATGACGATCGAGCGAGCGGTAGATATGCAAGCTCTAAGGGTGGTTAAATATGTGCTACTTGTCCAGAAAGTTCCTGAAAAAGACCCAAGGTGTTTGATGTGCAAGCAAAAATACAAACTTAATCATTACTTTTCATCTGTCGCAGTTGTTTTGTATTAATTTTTAAAATAGATGGAGGATAGAGTTTTATAGTAATTAATTTAACATTTGATACAATACTTGGTGATTTATTGGATAAGTTCTTTCTCATTATTTTATCTTATGAATTTGAAAAAATACTTAGATTATTGATTGAATTTGTCGATGAAACTTTGTATAAAACAAAGTAATATTTGCTACAACAGTTATTCAGAATGGCACAAGACACAACTAAAATTGGCTTAGACGAAGCTGAGAGGATTCGACGAAGTACTTTACCTGTGCACTTGAAGAGTATTTATCATGGCAAACATGAATCTCGCCAAAAGTAAGTTTCTTTTATGGATTATTTACACTTGTTTTTATCGTTCCAATTTACTGAATTGGAACGATATAAACAAGTGTAATGAAAATGAACTGCGATTGACTTTTATGTCTTACATGCTCATGTCAAATTATTTTTGCTACAATAGTTGATAAAGGTTTGCGCAAATACATTACATTCTTGTAGACGCCTGATAATTCGTGAAATGTCAATGTTTACTCCAATAGGTGCTGATCCATTCAATCCTTTGCTGATGCAGGCTGTTCCTCCAAAAAAAATGGATGTTCTGCATGCATCTAAGTCAGGCCAACTAAATATCTCTGATCAGATTCAACAATCCAAGGAATAATAATCTCCAGATATTGACTAGTTTTAAACATATTTTAATCATTATTATTTTTGTAAAAATTTTTTGCATTGATTTTGGTTTTCTGTCCGTTGTGATCACTTTATTTCGACACGTATAAATCTAGTTTAAAATGTATTTCCCAAATTATATGTTTTTATACCTAAGAATAATTTTGTTTTCGCATTTCGTTTGCATACTTGATGCAACATAACCAAACGTAATATTCAATAAATATTACGATTAGAAATGCTTACAAGTACGGAAATAATCATCTTGCAAAATCAATCATTCCGTTCATGTTCGACATTTAATAAAATATTTTTGCTTAGCATATGCTGACATTATAACAAGAATCGTCATTTTAAATGAACTTCTCTTCGGGTTTAGTACTGCTTCATTAAATTTAGCATACTCAGTTCAAGAATTTAATTGAAATGTTCAATCACATTTATGATTAGTAACTATGTTCAGAAGGTATATTGCTTCTTTCTGTAAAGACATTAATTTTATGTGAAAAAAATTCCACGTTTTTCTGCAAGTGTTGTGCAAGAGATTAGCTTTACATGCATGGAGATCCCTTCTGATCAAAAAATTGATAAGTTGCTTACAAATGTGTATGTTAATAATAAGATGCTATCGAAACTGAAAACAATTAACAAAGCTCCCACATGCTCAAATCAAAATTACTTTTGCTGCAATGATGTAGTAAATTTTTGTAAGGGTTTGATAACTTTTGAAATTTCAACCTTTACACTTTCCTTTCAAAAGCTGTAAGGACGGTTAAAAGGACTCAAATTGTTAAACTGTTGTTATGTAATTATAATTTTTTGATAAATATTTTGTGCAAATTGAAAACTAAAAAGTAGTGAAAATTTTGTTTCGAAAACGTAATTTTCTTTTAATTATCACAGTTGGTTGCTATCTTAAATATATTTGCAGTTTTCCTGAATAAAAAAAATGAAATCTAGTGGCACCGTATGATAATACATAATAATTTGATAATACATAATACATAATAATACATAAAACGTATACATAATTTGAGCATCCTATTATAATAGTTCATTAAACACCTACGGCGTGCTCATTTACTGCTTCGATAAAGTTCTTGCCGTCTAGTGCAGTTTTGGCTAACCGCTCAAATCTCAATAAAATCTTTGCATGGACTTTATCGTAGATTTCACATGTAGGTGCACTAGTCCTGTCTTCCACTATTCCATGGTATTTGTACCCTTGAGTTCCCTTCAATAGCGCCGCTTTATCAGCGCATACTTTGGTATTAGTGGCTGACTTTGCTGAATTTACTTCTAGTCCTACACATCAAGAAACCTTTCAACTTCTCCTGCCATAGATTTCATGATTCTCATCGGTCGCAAAGACCTTCAGATCATCCTTAAACAACAGATGATTCGTAATGTGCATTCCTTGATCAGTTGGAACCGTCACCTTTGGATACCTTATACTGAGTCGACGGCTCAGCGGGTCCTTGCAGCAGAGAAAGGCTGTCACCTTGGAGGATTCCTGGTTGTATTTTTTTCTACATTGTTTTCTTCACTACTTTTCAATGTAACCGACCATCTGGAGGAGATGCTTTTCAGAAACCTGTCGACCCACATTGGCATATTGAGCCTATCAATACACTTAATTACGGAATTGTGACTAACTGAATCGAATGCTTCTTTGATTTCATATCACACAGTATAGAGCTGGTTCCCGTACTCTCTACAAACCGCTAGGTTCAAGAGTGCTTGCTCTTTCGCACTTTGAACCTGAGTAACAGTTCTTTATTGGTTGTCTGCAAGAGTGGCAATATCTAATTGCATGACTCATACCAAACATTTCGTTGTCAACTTGTATAGGTTCGACGTAAAAATTATTGGTTTGAAGTTGCAGGCATTTGTTTTGGACAACTTTTGGAGTACACTGTCTCTTTAAGTCCTGTTCCTCCTCATCTAGATAAATCCGTCTTGTTATTTTCTACAGATGGGATGTAGGGAGATGCACTTCTTAATGGAAAAGCTCCATCAGAGCCAGTTTGGCAAGTAAGTAACCATTCTCCCGAATCCGGCTTCAGATGGGAAAGTATCATGCACTTCATAATCTGGAATAAATTCTTCCAAATATTCACTGTAACGAATCTCATTATTTTCTACATTTTTGGGTTCCACATCAAGGCGCATTTACAACTTCATATCTACGACCCACACATAAAATTTTATCTGCAAAAAAATCCTTTTTAAAAAAGAAATGAAGTCACAAATTATTGATTTTAATGAGTTGATATTATTAGACAGATTACGATTGGGTTTCATCAAACAGACTAGAGTTAATGCTATGATGTGGTTCCCTTCATCGTTAAAAATCAAAGTCATAGATAGAATCGAAGTTTTCTTGGCTGATAAAAGTTTCTTGTATTATTTATTTCCGTATTCTTAGTCATATTTCAACTGGATCAAATCCTTTCAAGCACGAATTGAAATCATTTGCAGGCTTGAATCACAGGCTGCTAATAGAACAAGTCGAATTTCCTATTTGCAATTTATAAATTTTTCGAAAATTTGTGTTTCTTTTCCCATTTATGTGTTATGTTTCTCACGTGTGTGTGCTGTATTTCTCCCACTTATATGTGTTGTGTTTCTGCGTTTATGCGATGTATATGTTGTATTTTTTATCTATTTGAAATTAGCGGTTTTTACTACTAACTTTTGATGAATTGAACAAAAATTTCGAATTTGTCTAGCAAAAGTGAAGAACTGCTTTGTATTTGTTTCTAACTCACGGATTTTTCTAGCAAAAGTGGAATTGCTTTTAAAGTTTTGCAAATTTTCCGACCTATGACTACTTGCTTTATATGTTATTTTCGGCTTTTGAAAATATAAATAATGTAAAAATCTCTAAATCACATGCTTAAAAATTCGCGTGAAGCACACTGATCATATTACATAAATTCTGGTAACATTACACATTATATATTAGAGAATTAATTGGATATGCACAAGTGTTAGTAACAACTCTTGAGATTACGTTTGAAAAATTTTAGGTTTTTTTGAATTTCTCTCAAAAAACTGACCTCTTTTTAAGATTATGATGAATTAATGACAAAAGTATGCTTTTAAGAAGCACATTTGGACTTGTCACTGTTTTAAATTAAAAATTATAATTGCTCAATAATTAAATTCAGATTTGAAGTATAATGAATTAAACTTTGCACTGACATTGTAAACCATGGTCAGTTTTCATGACTGATAAGACACAACAATAAGAAAAGTAATAAAATTTTAACTCTAGGAATTAATTGAAACTCTTCAACTTAATATAAAGATAAATAAATAGCAAATAAAACAAACGAATGATAATGTACTTTTAAATTTACTAGTAACCATATTTGATAATAACTTTTGCATGCAAGGTTGGTCATAGGTTAATCCAAATTCTGAACATAAATTCTCTGTAATATCCTCGCCTTCTGTGATGTCGTTATATAATTTTGCAAACCTGAAAGACAATTATTCAGTTCTTGATAGCAAGATTCGGATTTGTGATTCTGACTAGTTTAAAGTATATAGTTTTAAAATGTAAAAATTTCGGAAGAGAAACAATTTGACGTTAAAAGTGAACTGAATAAAACAAATTTTGTTGTAAATTTGTATTGCAAAAATGAGGAATTTTTCTTCGTTTCTGTAATTCTCTTAATTTCACTAGAAACATATATTTGAAGAAAGGAACTTTCAGGCAGTTGAAGTTTAAGACTGAATAAATGAGTTAATAAAATGAAAATGAAAATAAATGTCACTAATACAGCAAATACAATGTTGGAAAGTATCACCATTCAATGAAAAATATTATAGATCACAAATATGCAATAAAACAAGTAATTAAGTTCATAATAATAGACTATATGAAAATGAAGAAGCAAAGCGCTTCACTTTTTCAACTTTGTAATATATATAATAAGGTAAAGCGAATTAACCGATTATTTTTGTAAACTGCTTCAGCTCTTCGATGACTATTTGTAAGTGCAGAAAAATTTGATTCCTGTCGACTCCAATGTTTCGCTGCGAATATTTGGAGGAAGCGCTGCTTATGATAAACTGCTTCAAACACGTCGTGGCAGATGCTAAACCAATTAATCGCAAACAACTGTAGCTGATGCAACGAGACAAATTCAGCGATGTCAAACTGTGATCTATAAATGATTCTGTAAGAGAGGTTTGTAACTAAGATATGGCCAAACAATTTATCTTTGCAAATTTCAATGATTGCGAATATTCACTTTCACTAACAGTGGCTTCTGCCACTTTCAAAAAATAAATGCTTTTCTTAACATTTTAAGGTTTTTGAGGTATAAACTGTTTTTCTTTATTTGGGATATTTGGATGTAAGTTTCAAGATTGCTTGATCTAAAAAAACTAATATTTCATTGAATATGAGTAATTAGTCACTGAGTATCACTATCATTGCAAAAAAGCTGTGATCTAAAAAAGTAAAGATTAAGCACTCGATATTCAACAGCTTGATTAATTACTAGTATACAGGATATAGTAATGGATGTGTTAGTTAATTTTCTCACCTTTGCGAGCAATTCTGTTGACAGTTTGCATAGAGAGAATTATTCTTGTAATATTTTGATACAGCAAAAGATATCAATGAAGGTGGCTGCGTTAGGAGCAAAAGCACCGCCGTCGTACAAGTTTTTGGAATTTGTGGAACAGGGGGTAAGTACGGTACAATCTATGACGTTTGCATTAATTAATAGTAATTTTCAATTTTCAATAAAAGTTAATCGATGCAATTTTGAATGGTGAAATAGTGATAAGTAATGAGTATATTGTGTATAAGTATGGGTATGAAGAGCTTTAAATTTTTGGTCCATTTTTGAAGATTTTAAAAAATTTGTGAAAAATCTGAAATAATGATACGTATAAGAAATTCAAAACTAATGTAGCTAACACTATGATTTATCCATTCTTTATGAACTGCACTTGTTACGTATTCCAAGAAATTTTACAAAAATTCGCAGACATTTTAAGCCTAATATTTTAGTTGGATTTAATGCTGTCTTTTTCAAGTCGATGAATCACAGCAATAAATGACAGTCCTGATGTAGAAATAAAGGACTAACTGTATGTCCATCCTCAACATTTCCTGCAAACAGAGAAAGCGTCGGCAAATCAGCAACCATCCAGTACAAAAATTCGTTGTTTAAATCGAAAATCACAATGGTCTTATATGTTTCCACAACATCTAAAAATTTTCAAATTCCACAAATTAGTTTTTATTGCATTGCTGCTAATCTCTGAATAGCAAAGAATAGATAAAATTTACTGAGCTCAAATCGTGTTTGTTCAGAGAATTTAGCTGAAAAATTGATAGAGCAAAATACCATAGCTCATTATCACCGTCATATCAAGTATTACTCTTACCATTCCTTGAATCTCTTTATTTTATCATGGTCACTTTCATATTGAACATCAACAAACTATCACATTATATAATTTTCATATTCTTTACTGAGTTCTGAAGTTCATACTTTTATAAGCTTTACTAAGCCTCGGAAAACTTATGTGGGCAATATTGACGAATTTTATAAACTTTGTGCTGAAGTAATAATTTCTTATCATTTCTCATCAAAGAACTGAGAATAATGAACATAAAGTGTAATTTGTAAGGAGTAATTTTTGATCAAAAATAATTTGATGCTGCTGGTGAAGAGCAAGCCATCACAAATCAAATTCCATTTATCCATCAGTCTCGCATTTCACTGCAATACGAATTTAATGACAACAAAACTGAAAAGGAGATCAGGTGCTCTGCTACTTCAAATCAGTTTATCCTTGCATCCACAGTTTCCCAAATTTCTCTGTTAATATCATATTTTGCTTCTATACATTAAAAGAGTTAACAAGTAGTCGCACACAATTAAAACCTCAAGCCTCTTTAAAATAATTTTTCATCAAGAAGTCATCATCCACTTACTTATCAATTCTAACAGTGATTTTTTTGCATTTCAGACATTTGCTGAATATCAGTAATTCGTTGCAAGTTTTTATCTGTGATCGCTCACTCATCTCATGCTTAGTTAAAATTATATTTGCCTTTTCGGATCTACTACTTTTCCCTGATCACTTCAAAATTTCCTTCACAGTCATGTCAGTTTTTGCTTCCGTAAGTAATAACGACAATGATAATCAATAGGTATGAATACCACAGTAATAGATCAGAGTTAAAAATGTATCAAATGTAAGCATAACGGTAATCCGTGAGTTAACACAAAAAATAAACAACCATTGGAATAATGCAGATTTCTGATAATTCTTTGGAATGACGGACTACCAGGGTTGTTCGTCGCTACCTGCTGCACATTTTTCACACTTGTAACGCGTGGATGTTTGCGCACAGTGACCGAAGCTAATGGCTTATTTCCTAGAGGATCTGTTCGTATTATCTCTTTTCTGCAAATTAAAATTTCTACTAACTCACTTTTCAAACTGCAACATATTCAATTTGTTTGAATACAAAAAAAATAATGAAAAGTATCTCTAGAACTTTAAAATATTGCTATCACTTGTGTTTCTGATCCATCATACTAAAGTTGGATTATAAAATTTCTAACGATATTAATAAGATTGATCTTATGATTATTGATTACATCTTCAAAAATCTCGAATATACTACTTGTCGATCTGTCACACACAACTTCTTGCAAAATGAAATGATTATTTAATCTTTGATTATATTAGCAAACAATCGCTCCCACTTGCTTTGCAGATAATCTTCACTAATTGAGACTATTGCTGATGTCCTATTATGGAACATAATGCCTCTTCCTTCCAAGTAATACAGAAATGTAATAAAAGTCATGGTGAAAATGAGAAATGCATAAATTTAATTTTCATTTCACAGATGCATGAGAGAGGTGCTATCATTCGGAAATCGAAAATTGAGATCACAAACTTAATCAAAATAGGCACAGAAATAATGATAACAATAGTACCTATGCAAGAAGTTTAAGGTTAAAGTGCTTTATTTAAATCGATGGCTATAATAAGAATAAAAAATAAAGACTTTTCTTCTCTGCACAAGAAATCTCAGAATAAATTTCTTAGCAATAAATTTATTGTATAGAAGAGAAAACTTTAATCCAAGAAATATTGCTAACTTGAAGGAAAATTCTCGGCAACACAGTTGAATCTGGGATTTTACCTGCTCAAAGTGGACTGATACCCAGTTACTGATTTGCCTCAAGGGAAGCTGCTTCAAAATATGCCACTGGTTTTCATTTTCCACCTCTGTATCCGTATTTTTATCAAAATTATAATTTTTTGAATAGCGAAAAAAATAAAAGTTAAAGATATATATATATATATGCTAATTTTTTTCAAAGTGTACTTAAATTTGTTCAAGAGAAAAAGATTTCTAGTTCATTTGATTTAAATTTAAATTCAGTCCTTACTTTTGATAATAAGCGAAGGACAGTTGTCAACAGCTCCTCGGATTCGTTGCTTTTCTATGGCATAAGGATCTGTGCTCACTAATAATATGTTCATGCCAATCAAGGCTGAAATATCACAGCTCTACTTTTATTTCTACGTTTGCAGATAAGAACAACAACTGAAAAAAGCGAGAAAACAAGATCTTACGAAGTCTGAAAAGGTATTATTTTATGCTAAGTTTTGTAATTCTGTGAGATTCTTTCTCACTTAATGTAAAGAAAATAGTTTTTTTGTCAAATCTTTGAAGGTTTAAAGGTTAATTGGCCATTTTACTATAATCAGCTTTGATTTTTTCAATTGAAATTGTAATCAAAATAATAAAAGACACCATTTTCCAAGTTTGAATCAAGCATAAATTTAGGCAGGTTGAAGTTTTCAGTATCGAAGTTGAAATGCTTTTTTACGCCAGCTGCTTCAAAAATTAAGAATACAACAGGGTTTGCTTGATCACGAAAATTTTCAACTTCTGCATATTCTTTCACTACCTGAAATCTCCTGCATAGCTGATTTCCTTTGGGACAAAATCATTAATTCTTGCCATTTCTTTTGACGTTATGGACATTCAATTTCGTGAGCGAGGACAACTTGACCATTTGAATGATTTATCATACTTGAGGCTTGGAATCAGACTATGCATTAAACATTGAATGCTTCCTTTCTGTGACAAACTGATTAGCTATTACATACTGAAATTTTTAGAAACGATTTTCATGCCCAAGGAATTTTGCGATATTATCTCTTTTATGCTTTGAAGGCATTAATTGAAGATAATAGGAGCAATCGTTACAATTTGTTCTTTCTTTGCATTCAGAAGTTGAGATGAAAAAACATCCAAAGTTTTCATTTTAAATAATGATATGAATTTAAAATTCGACATTATGTTTTGCTAATCAAATACTTCGCTTGAATTCTTTTAGATTTAAATTGAAAGTTGTTAATAATTACTTGAAATCAAATTTAGTTTATCGAATTGCAAAATTTTTTTATTGGTAGTTTGAAGAAATTCTGTATAAATGCAATTTGTATTGCAATTAGAGTGCTTTTGCAATTAATCATCAAATACTTTATGTCCTTGAAGAATTTGAAATATCCGTAGTTTAAAGAGAAATACTAACTTTGTCGCCTGCAGATAGTCGCAAAGTGAAAAAATTCAAAGTACCAAAGCCAACATCAGTTGCAATAATTATATATGAGCCATTTTTTCTTCCATCCCATTGAATTTTAGGTGGGTGGCGAATAGCGTAAGGATTGACCGGATCCATATCCGGATTAACTTCGATCTCTTTTTCTGTACCTCTTACAGTGAACTCGTGATCACAGGCACGATATTTCTGCGAACCTATAACATTTGCTCACATAGTATTTGCGTGTTGATAGCAACTTGAATGCGAATTAAGCACCTCATTCATTTTCAAGCTTTATATGGTTAAAAAAGAATTAATCCCATATATGTTCTCGTTCCTAAATATGTAGTCACTTATTCCCGCTTTACCTTATGAAAGACAATTTTGAACCAAATTCCAGCAGTTTTTGACTATGATTATTCATTCCACTCTATTTCTTACCAAGTTAAATTGATTTTTGAGAATATAAAAAGTTGAAATTGTTCAAAACCTTCCAGAGATGGGTAAGAGATTGTCGGAAATATATGTAAATTTTTCAGATATTCGTTCTGATATGTATTCACACGAAAGAGTCGACTTCCCAAGCTATGAAAAGACTGCAATGTTTGAGGATTGTAACATTCTATGTGACTGATATACCGACCAGTGCAACGATCTCGCCACTGCTCTCCAAACCAAAACCGTCGCGGTTCTGCTGCAATTTTCTTCAACCGAAGCAAACAACTGCTAGTATTGTTACAAATACAAAAACAATGCTTTGTTAATAAATAAAGCAGTGGTAATAACAGAGTACGAGCCATCACAATGTTGCTACGGTGAACCATCAAGAATGTTTGAAAACATAGCTGGAACCGTGAAGAAAGAACGCTGATTTATTTGTATTCTCACTTTTAATATCGATTTCATCGTAAAAAAACCGAACGAATTACAGTGACATCTAAAATTCACTATTCTTCCATTTTTGTGCATGTACTATAGAATTATATCGAGATATCATTGTTCCTTGTAAATAAATCGAGAATACTCATTACTTATCAATCACAACTTTTTTTCATTTTAATTACAATAATTTTCAGAAATATTTTGAGACCAGTTCAAAACCACAGCAAACATTTTAAGTTTTTTCTGTAATTGTTTGGTTAAATTCTATTATATTTTAAGCTTTCAGAAATGGAGCATTTTATAAGCAATTAAAGATTCATGAATATAGATTCTCTAGCTGCTGATAAAGCAGCAATTATCAAAATTCTAAAATAGATGAATTGAAAAATTTAGTCACTATAGTAGAACTACTTACAAAGCAGTAGTATAATTGTTGGATCAAAAAGGCGCGATAAAGAGTTTTGAATCGAATTTGAGCAGGTTTTGACTAGTATTATTAACTCCACTTTATTTCTTTTCGATGATTCTCAAGAATCAATTTATATGTGGCTAGAAATAAAGTTTGTAGCTGATACCACAATTTAAAACTAATACTACTTTAAGTGTTACAAATTATTTTTGAAATAAAATTAGTAATTCTTCAGTTAAAACAATAAGCGAGCGCAAAAAAATGGGTTAAATTAAAGTGGAAAGATAAGAAAACAAACTTATTTGCGGACAGTAACACAACTGAACTACAATTAATGCAGCGCTATTTCAGGTCTTAACTTTAACTTACAGCATTTGAACGCAATTATCCAGAATAATGAAGTAAAATGCAAAGTTCGTTGTAAATATTTTGATAACTTATCCTTAAAAAAAGTAGAGGAAATATGACTATAGAAAATTATCGATAAGAAAGCGATATGTAAGCTGAATCTTCACTTACTTTGCCTAGCACATAACATAAATGCCAAACTTTGCATTTTACTTCATTATTCACTTTTTAGAAATTACTAAATTGTTATTCGCTCTCATTAACTATTACAGGTTATGTTCCAATAATAACTCAAACAATATCGTCATTTGGTACAAGGCATGAGATCAGAAGGAATAAATAGGTCGGTCGAGTTGCTTAGTACGAAATAATTGCGTACTCCAACTTTTTCACAAAAGCTCATGCATGAAATAAGCAAGATATATGGAGGGAAAGAAGATAAGTTAAAATGAGATAAAATTAAAGCTGGAAATCAAATTGAATTAAATGGAGTATGAGCTCTCGAGATTTCAGGCCTAGAATCAAGAATGGATGGATTTTTAAGTTTAATGCAAGTATAGATCATGTCTGCGCACAAATTCAGCACTAAGTCAGTAAGTCAAATCTCGATTCTAACTAAAAATATCTCGAGGTAGTCTGGAACATTAAAGAGGAGGAGAAGTAAGGGGAAAGGAAAGGCTTGTCATAAGCGAAATCGGATGCACTCTATTCAACAATTTACTACACACCCATCCATCCATCCTTCCATACACCCCATCCATCGAGGAAGGAATTCATTCGAAATCCGCAGAAATTGAAAGTGAAAATGAAATTGAAATTAAGCATTCACTTCCTTTTCTGTCCCTTGGAAATGATCAATCATTATCAACATTTGGTTTTGACGGCACTGAAGCCACTTTGTGTTTGAATGTTACGCAACAGGAGCCATTTACTCACATGCTTCAAAACCACAACAAAAGAACACGGAATCTTGTCAAAATATATTTGAAGGCGATTAGTTTATTCAAGCAAATACTTTCACTAAGTCAAAAAAAGCAAATGTAGTTAATTAGTATTTCAGATATATAAATAGAATACTCCTAAGAATAGTAATTAAATACACAAATTCTCGACTGAATGATATGGTCAAATATTTCCAAAAAATACTAATGAATGAATCAAAATTGAAATGCTTACACAATGTGATTAATAATGTTTGTAAGTTGCAAAAAGAGAAGACTAATTTCGTTGTGACGATGGATACAACGTGTTGGTTTAAAAAACTCAGAAAATTTTTAAACTGATTATACATGAGTGATTTCCCGGGAAAACTGAGCAAGGTTGGAAAATTTTGTATGATAGATACATTAATAAAAATGAATGCATTAGTCACTAATTATTTCTGTCTCAAGACAATAATTTTCTCATTTTCTTATAAAACTTTTGAACTTTGATAAATGCACTGCTTTATTTTCAAAACTTTCTCTTGTAACTTTGACTAATTAATGACTGACATCAGATATAGTACGAATTATTATTTTGTAAAGAGATTATTCTAAAACTCTTCCAAATAACATAATTCAGGAGCGTTAGCGCAGACTTTCATCTAAGCTCTGTCTGCCTAGCCTTACGGAATCAAAAAAATTAGGCACTGATTCATTTCTAATTTCCAAACTGGCAGTTATCTTTGCATACAGACCAAAGAGTAATTTTAATATCTAAGCAGTAGAACGAACACTCGCCTTGTTGACTCACATCAATTGTTTTACGCAGTATTTGATCATATTCCCTCATTACTATTATATCTTTCAAATTCAGATTGCAATTTCAACCAAAAAATCCTTTCAGCAAGCTTAATTTGCATATTACTTACCCTAACGCAAGTGAAAGTAATCTCTATATACAGGAGAATGAGATTCTGCTATACACCAATTGTTTTCTATTTTCCATTCGACTTCCGTTAGTACTTTGGCATCTATTTCTAGTCGATAATAATTCCAACACGTTGTGTATTAACAGTTTTTTAAATTCTTACCTTGCATATTAATCAATTTCATAAACTAATATGTCAGGAAAAAATTAACTATATATTAACTTGCAAATCAATAGACAAGTTCATTCATCAGACTCGACCTTCCTTCCAAATGCATTGAAAACTTCAAAATTTCATTAAATTTTAAATATCTCTAATTGAGCATTTATTTCAATATCAATTGCTTGTTACTCATTCACTGTCAATTGCAGCTTTATCAATCAAAAGACTTTTTCACGCGATAAATACTCAGTTTGTAAAGTTTCATTTCACTGAAGAGTTCTGCTACAATACCAACAATAATATAATATGTTTCAATGGTCAAAAGCTTTAATTTCTGAAAAACTTATGTTCATGTCAACACTATTTTGACTCAAGCTTCATGATTATACAATTTAAGTCGGTAGATAAATCTAAGTAAATATGGTGCAAGTCGCAGTTCATACAAAGCAAACAGTTTTTCGTGCCTAAACAACACTCTTGTACTTGTCTCACTAGGTATAAAAGTTAATTTCAAAATCAAGCCTCTTTTTCTAAAAACCATATTCCAAAAAATTTGATTGCTGTTTAAGTCCGGAAATATGTTCTTAGCATGTGAGATAAGTGTTGAACAGTATTTCTGGGCAAGACTCGACAATGTAACACGGAGGTGCACAGTCCATCCGGTACCTGCTCCGGTTCCGTACTCACGAACATGTCTAAGAACGCTGCTCTACCTCTGCGGTATCGTATTAACGCTTCAAACCATTTGCCCTTTTTTTGGAGCTGAAAAAAATGAAATAAATTCTGTGAGACCTTTTTAGTTTATCCTTCGAAACTCTGTTTATGTTCCATCCAAATTTTAAGTTCGCTGTTCATTTCTTTCCAAAGTGTTTGTTCTATTCGATTCCTAACTCATTTGCTTTCCTTTTACTTAAAGTGAATAATGTACAGAAGTGCAAGTTTTGTATGGAAATAATAATCTAAACCAATTATCGATGCATGCAAGGATTATTTATCTGCTACATGCAAAAATACTTGTATTTAACCACACTAAAAATATTGAATTTAATGAAAATATGCTAATTACTGCATTTTACTAACACAATTATGTAAATAGTAGCATTGCTTACTTCCAATAGTTCTTCTTCAGTACTGTCAGAACTATCATATTCTATTCCAAATACTCTTTCAATTTCTTCAGGTGTTCTCGCTGCTATCAATCCGGCACAAAAATTACACATGTCATCTAACAAGGTATCCATCTGTAGAAAACTTGCCGCCTGAAAGAAATTTTAGATAAAACTATAAATGTTACCTTTACAGAAAATTTCAGCATTATAGAAGTAACTATTTAAAAGGATTTATACTAAAAATCTTTGCTCCTAACAAACTTAATGTGTACACCGTTCTATCTTCACTATTTTAAAATTAAAAATTTTATCTCATATCGGTAAATTGTACGTATGCACCAAAAGCAATTTTTGGGTTTTATGAATCCGAAGCTGCGTGACCCATCGTCTCAATCGATGATTTCGATTAATTAAATGACAATTAGGTCGTTCCAAAAACCACTGGTAATACGTTTTATTATAAATACTTATCCAATCTCTCAGTGAATAAATCAGAAAATCTTCCGTAATTTCATCACAGCCAACAACTTGCGCTTCTTGTAATAGTTCACTGAAATCTGCCGGATCACTGGGATAGAAACGCTTCCGCATTGTCATGTTATACCATTTTATAATCTGAACAACCACAGAATTATCTTTGCATGACTAACAGATTTGAAGAAAATGTAAATTGAAGGTTTTAGGCATAATATACTTAAAACAAAGCTTTATTACATTTTCTTATTCGTTCTTTTCAGTACAATATTACAAATTTATATCAACGTCATGTCCTAAAGTAATTACTTAATTTGAAACTTTTAGAATTTCAAGTGACATTTTTCGCAGCGTTAGCACTGAATGCTGAATAAAGACTAAAACCTCTTCAAATGTTTCTGTATCAATATTTTCCACAACCAGGGGATTGGAATTATCGGTTACTGAAACAAATCCAAGCTGATGGAAGCACTACAGCAAAACACTAAATTTCAGGGATACCTAAGGAATATATCAAGCCTTGTATTAATTATTGATGATGAAAATGAATTTGGAAAAGATAACAGGAAAAATATTTCAAATGTTATAAAAATGAAGTACTGACTGTCCGTAA